CTAATAATTGAAATGTATAATCGTAATTACAAGGGATCAAGGGAAATCTTTAACAATTAGGATGTCAAAAATCATGCACCTCTTTCATTCTTGTTAAAAATACTCTCTGACGCTTCCAAGAATACAGCTAAAATCTAATCTACATTCTTAAAATAAAGTCTTCCTCAAACCTCCAGCGCTCCTTAAAGCATGGAATTGACATTTATTATTTCCTGAAGCTGGAAGACACTTTGGGGCCCTTTACTCTCTGAAATTTTCATCATGTTTCAGCAAAACTAGGTGCGCATTATCCTCTCCCACAATCCTTAGCAGCAGCCCTGAACTTGTGACATGACCCCACCCGCATTCATCAGTCATCAGCGGCCAGAGTCATCTAAAAAAAAAAAAACAGCTCCTCTTTTAATGCTGAGAAGGAACCCAATGAATTAGTAATACATTTACATGAGCTGAGAGCAAGTGCGGGTAAAGAAATTACTCTCTTCATGTCGTTGCAAGTACCCTTTTCCTCTCTGACTGGTATGCGCCGATAAAAAAGGGCATCTGAAAGATATTCAATGCAAGGACACTTAATGGAAAAGTGAGAAAATATAACCCAAAAAGCTTTTTGATGTAAAGAAACTTAATTCTATTAAAAATACAGATCAAACTGTCAGGCTTTCATTATGGTACAATACCTTTTAGCAGTCGAGCACTGTCGCAATAAAGTTTCAAAGTACCTCAAAATATCAGATTTCCAGCCGTTCATATCAGACTCAGTCTTCAGACATGAACAGCAGCACAAGTAAAGCTATTTTGATACAGTGGCCTTAAAAGTAATTTAGCCAACGCAAATGTAACGTTTTGCATGGTCACATAGCCAAAAAAAAAGAAAAGGTAGTGGAGCACTTGTGTGAGAAATTAAAACATACCGGCAAGCAGCAACTCTTTTTAAAAAGAGTACAAAGACATTTTTATTGTAACTTTTGGAGTGAAAAAGCACAGAAACTGGACAAGGATTCATCTTTCTAGTACGCATGTATGCCGAGCACCTGGGTTCGCACACGCTTTCAAATGCTGACTATAAATAGGCACTATAAAAATTATTAAAAAGGTACATGGAGTATAAAATATAGAAATTGATTATAAAAATGTGTAACTTTTTCATCTTATGGCAGACTTGACAGCCAGATCTAAAACAGTGCATACTTTTCACTAGGAATAAGGACTTCTTTTCATCAGTTGTTGTTAAGTTTATTTGCATGCATTTTGGATTTTTTTTAGAAATTCATTCTTTTTTCATGCTTTCATGCTTTCATTCTGCATTTTTTCATGCTTATCCTGATTAAAGTTACACAAGTTATTCAGTCAAGAACAGAGAGTGATTTTCTTCTACTTTTGTTCTTTTATTAACAGACGGCAGCAGGTTTAATAGGCTGCTATCACTTAAGAGATTATGCACAGATCCAAAATAATATGTTACGCAAAATGCGTTTTCTCTCAACTTTATGTTCCAAAATTGATTGTTTAACCGAATGCTCGCCAAGAAGGCCATTTTGACATTATTTTGACCGTTTAAGTGCAGTAAGCCACTCGTTTTGTTACTTGCGACTCACAAGCTGTTTAAAAGATGGAGGTAAGATCTTACGGATTTATGAATGAGCTCCTCGGTTTAAAATCTTCCCAGTCTGACATTTGTTAAACATTACAATGCTCTACAATGAATAAATCCACTTCAATGGCCAATTACTCTTTGAGAGCGATGCCGTACTGCAAAAAATAAAAACTGTAATTTTTATGGTAAAAAAAAACGGCAGCTGTGGTTGTCAGAACTTTACCGTCAAAAATACGGTAGCAACGTTATTGGTTTTACAGACTTAACTTAAAATTTAGATGTAATAAACCGTATTTCATTATCTGATGTAATGTTAATTAATTTACCAACCTATTGAAGTATTGATCTGGAATAATGGGAATGTCAATTTATGGTTTTTCACTGTAAATTATACAATGAGTTGTTCTTTTTCAATTTCAAAAACAGTAAATTTAACGGTATTTTACAATAAAATTACATTAAATGTACCATGAGATCTATTACAGTTATTTAACGTATATATAGGGTTTAAAATCTTCCCAGTCTGACATTTGTTAAACATTACAATGCTCTACAATGAATAAATCCACTTTAACGGCCAATTACTCTTTGAGAGTGATGCCGTACTGCAAAAAATAAAAACTGTAATTTTTATGGTAAAAAAATCGCCAGCTGTGGTCGTCAGAACTTTACCGTCAAAAATACGGTAGCAACGTTATTGGTTTTACTGACTTAACTTAAAATTTACAGTAATAAACTGTATTTCATTATCTGATATAATGTTAATGTACAAACCTATTGAAGTATTGATATCTGGAATTAAGGGAATGTCAATTTACGGTTTTTCACTGTAAAATTATACTATGAGTTGTTCTTTTTCAATTTCAAAAACTGTAAATTTAATGGTATTTTACAGTAAAATTACATTAAATGTACCATGAGATCTATCAGTTATTTACCGTATATAGTACGGCAACTTTCTGTTAACCAATTAGCCAGTCTTTTACCGTTAAAATCATACGTTTGTTTTACAGTGTACAGAAAAAAAACCAGAAGTTCAAAGACAATATTCTAAAGATGGCTGCGCGTTTGTTTCTCTTGCACATCGGCATGAGGTCTATACGAGATAAAAAGATAAATTATTGCTACCCGACGCCCATTATCATTTACGAATCACCACAACACATACGTCAAGCGGATTGTGCCAAAATCGGGCTGTTATCGTCTAGTCTGAAACTGGTATAATGTTCCCATCCCCATCTTTGAGCCCCTTGAATCACACTTTGTCAGTCATTAAAACTGAGTACTTAACAACAGCAATTTTAAAGGCCCTATTTTTGCAAATCTTGCCTTAACAGTTGCAGTACATAAAATAAACCAGGAGGAGCAGATAGTTTCCTTCAAAAGTACATGCATTATAGAATACCATTCGTCTGGTCTGGATTATCCATTGTCTCCTTATGGGGCTGGTCATCTGCGCAGACAAATTCAACATGAAGGTCAGAAGTACAAAGCTCTGTGGCACACAAACTAAAAATTCCCTCGAGCAGCAGTAAAGAAAAGAAAGTGAACCACAGCCTCAGTTGACAGCTAAAGCTGCTCAGATCTCCAATAGGCCCCCTCATTGTCCTAAAAGCCAGTCGCCCCCGCAATAAACGGTTTTAATAACATATCACGATCCCCAAGAGTACTTTGCCTTTGTTTTCCACATGTAACCAGTTCTAATTAGGCAATGTGCTGCAAAACTTACTGAGGTCTGGCTGCCTCTGATCACAATAGCTAGTTGTATCTTCCACAGCTGTAATTAATGAGAAAACCAGGCGACTCTTTCATGAAAAAAGGAAGATTTCGAGAGAGAGAAAAAAAGTACATCATAGAGAGAATATATGGCTTAAAAAAGTCTGAGGGATAGACCTTGCCGTTTTCATCATCTGTGACAAAAAGCCTGATCTCTGTCTGTGCTGATGCAACCTGGTTCGTATTAGTAAAGAAATGCACCAAAAAACAAAATCATTGCAGAGAAAACAAATGTCACGGAGAACATCTACACCAGATGAACCATGACTGATTATCAAAATACAGTGTAACACTCATATCTCTGTGGAATCAGACAGGATGTGCTTCATTTATATAGGACGGCGGGAAAAATGATGCATGTCACATAAAATGGCCTAGGTTTGTCACATTTTAAATAAATACAACCTTGTATGTCAGATTTACCTAGTAAATATGGTTTAAAATGTTTGTTTTTTGTGTGGTACATTTTTTGCTATTAAATATGACATTAGATATAGCATCTCAATTATAAAAACACTTCTAAAACATTTAATCAACACACCCTTTTTTTTACATTTACAATCCCACACTGTAAAAAAGAAATATTTTCATGATTAGTGATCACAACATTTTTTCTTTTGTCAAATCAACTTAAATAATTTATTTAGTTCAGATAACATATAATTTTGAGTTTCTGATGATTAAATCATTCTCCTCCATTGTATTAACTCACTTTTTCCATTTGTATGAACTTAAAATTTTAAGGAAACCAGGTTACTTACTTTTTTAGGTTAAACCAACAATATTGTTTTACAGTGATATGTTTATTCTGTAACATTTTACAACAAGGTTCTAGCTGTTAAACTTTGTTCATTTTAATTATACTTTTTTGTATTGCTGATGTGGCATATATATAAATATTATAAATTATTTAATTATTTAATATTATAATGTATAAATTATTTTGGCATAGACATAAACAGCCATATTGTAAACTTAAGTGTTATTTTATATTCGCCGCCTCATGTTCATTTCTGGACCAGAAAGTTAAGGTAGACGCCATCCTGCAAGCCAACATGATCAAGAGGGAAATTCATTCAATATTAGATATCAATAACATTTATCTGCTTAATAAGGTAATGAGAAGATTGTAAATCTGACACCAATTGCATTAACAAACTCCAGCAATCTGATTAGCAGTAATTCAGTATTATAAAAGAAAATCTACAGCTAATGGAAACATCCCGGCAGTCTCAGTAATAAAATAAACTCTGTGAGCTATGCTTCACTTGCAGCTCTTCTTGAATGTGATAATTGCAATTACACAACACATTGAATAAACAAGCAATTAACACTGCTTCTTTAAAAACTTTACAAATTACTCTTATTATTCAAGGGAAAACATGTTAAAGCCTTTTAAAGGTGTTACAAATTATTCTCTCGACTCAATACACTTTGGCTTCAAAACGTGTTTAGCACAAACACTAGTAGCACAGGTAGGCTATTGCATGCAAGCTAGAATATATTAGACAGACTTTGATTATGTTTATAAAGAAGATGTGTGCTACAGATTCTAACCAAACCATCGTATGTTTCATGTCTGAGTGTTTATGAGACGGAATAAGCAAATGATTTCATAAGTTAATTCATCTACCTGTTGCACAGTAACACAGGCAGTGCTTCATTTCACCCGGGCAGTGTCTCGTGATTTGATGACTGTTTCACGCTGATTTCCTCTTCTTAATGATGTAGACGTTTGACTTCAAGTATTTATTTAGTTACTGCAGAAAAAAAAAGACAGAAATCTCTGCGCTGTTACTTGTTCATCATTTCTAAACGCCCGCTCCGCCGCCCGCCACTCTCTCCCGCCTCACCCACCCGGTACACATCCTGCTCACAGACTGACAAACAGTGCAGCGAGCCAATGATAATTCAGAACACGCCTGTCAAAAGTTTGCCTACCAATCGCAGTAGGAACTGCGGACAGGTAGGCGGAACTTTGCCAGAGAACTGTGCTGGTCTCCATGGGAACATGTCAAACATGAAGCGTACGGTACGCTGCTGATGAAAATGTCGTTTGAGAATTGGATTTTTATTTCTAGAGAGCTGCGTGAGGCAAAAGTGTCTTGGTAACCTGTAGCCGCTCTTTATAAACATGAGATTTTGTGTTAGTTTATTTCATTAAGTAATAAAACTGTAAAACTGTAGCTAGCACACAGATACTTATATGTAAAACAATAAAATAAATAATAATAATAATTCCCTTGTAATGAAAAATACAAAGTCAAGGAATGCAATATTATGGTTGTGGTAATTAGAGTTAAGCTTCATGTTGTTATCAATAGTGAAAACCATAGACATATACACTAGACCTCACCTGGGGGTTCTAAGCATGCGTCAAAACCGCCGCCATCTTGGAACAGGGGTCTTGTCATAGGAAGTAGCTAGATAACGCTGCTATCTCTGCCTTTACTTCGAATTCATTGATGGTGGCGGACTTTTGTGCAGCGTATGAAGTTCATCTGAACTAGGAAGAATGTTTTACAAAAAAATTTAAAAAATGTAAAAAAAAAAATTCTTTCTGGAATCAATGATAAATAGATGTCTGACCATTGGAACAAACCAAAAAACCGCATTCATGATGATTTGTGATGATTTTATTTGCGTTAGACCTGTGTCTACTACATTGACGCTGATGCATTAAAGTGGAGGGGCTCCCCTGTTTCAAGATGGCGGCTCTATTGACGCATTCGTTCCAATGAACTGCCGTATCCAAGGTGAGGTCTAGTGTATATGTCTATGAGTGAAAACAACCAAGTTGTCCTGAATAATGATGAAATCATTACCCAAACAGCCTATTGGTTCTTAAAAAAGGCTAAGTGGTTATTTTTAAGATATTAAAGGGATACTCCACTTTTTTTGGAAATAGGCTCATTTTACAACATTTTTTGCAGTGTTGTAGTACTCAAGACTCGGACTCGTCTCGGACTCGGTCTCGAGACCATATTTTAATGGTCTTGGTCTTGTCATGGACTCGTGTGCATTTGGACTCGGAATTGACTCGTACTCAAACATTTTTTTTTAGGACTCGGACTTATTCCCGAGTCCACTTGAGTTCAATTCAAAATATTTTTCATGATTATTAATGTATGTTAATAAAATATTTCTTTAAATTGATTGACACGCCCATTGATTGGTGATTTTCTAGTGCGCATCTGCGCATGACAAATTGTAATAAAATTACTTTCAACACCACCTACTATGTGGCCTTTTTACCCTAAACTGATCATATTTTTTAAACTCTAAGTAAATTCATAAAAAAAAAAAAGAATTTCTCTAAGTAAATAAAAGTAAATTAGGTAATCAACCCTCACTGGTCTCGGTCTCGACTCGGACTCGACCGTCTCTGGTCTCGGACTCGACTCGGACTCGACTCTCTATGGACTCGGTCTTGACTCGGACTCGTCTCTCTCTGGTCTTGGTCTCGACTCGGACTCGATTGAGGTGGTCTCGACTACAACACTGATTTTTTGTGTACCGTTTTCGAATCCATTCAGCCGATCTCCGGTTCTGGCGGTACTACTTTTAGCATAGCTTAGCATTCATCATTGAAGTGGACAAAACCTTTAGCATTTCTCAAAAAAAAAAAAAAAAATGACCAAAGAGTTATTTTTCCTGCGTCATTTCATTACGCCTGCTGCACTCATGGTACGGCAGTAAAGTTTCTTGATTATTACGCAGGAATGAGAGTATAGTTATTAGCCATATCATACTGTATCAGCCTAGAAAATCGCAACTTTACATTTTCTGTTGGTCTTAGTGCACGATGTAACTACAGAAGATGACATGACGACATTTACTTACTGGTGTAGGATTTTTCTCCATCTCTGGTAAAATAGTAATAATTAGTGTGTACATTAATTATCGTACAACAGATTGCAGTTTATCTGCGATCCACACTGCTTGAACACTGAAATTGATTCCTCTTTCTCGCGGTTCATCTGATCGCGGCTACTTGCGCTTGAACGGACACATACACACACAATTATGTCAAAATACTCGTCTCGGCAAAGTATTCTCTCGGCTATGACATAAAAACGGATGTGTGTCAGTATATTCGGTCCATGTATTCAGTCTTAAAGTGACAGCAGCCTGATTTTCCTGCTGTTGTCTGTGTCATTTAAGTTGAAAGTGATGACGACAGCTTTTGAACCAGACCAAAAAAGTTAAGCGCACCCCTGTTAATTACCAAAGCATGGGGGCATTTAAATAACTCTCATGAAGAATTGATAGAGGTTTTAGCTCTTTTTAGTATTTTAGTATTATATGTTTTGTTATAAAAAAGAACCAAGAGGACCAGAACACTTCCTTAAAGACCACAGCTATGATCTTGCAACAGCAAATGCTTTTGTTTGAGGTTCACTGAGAAAAGTACACAGCGAACGTGAAGTATTAGGCTAGCTTTTCTCTATTGTCAGTTATAGGTTAGAGCTGAAGGTGAAATGAAGTCATCAGTTTAATCAGAAGATTACGTGCAAACAAAAGCATTCCTTAGGCTCTGCGAGATTTATCTGGGCAATGAAAGAACATGGCCACCGAAGCCTGTGACTCATGAGCACACTAAGACTTGGCAATGTCTTTGTTACAAACTGAGATTATTAAAAAGATGTCCCGCAGCAACTCATTATACCATCAGTTTAGGCCATTTTTCTCCTAACCGCTTAATTAAATTTGAATCTTATGAAAAATAAAGAAAAATCAACAGCTATCTAACTGCTGGCTAGTCTGACATTGTGCCAGCAGGCAGGTGCCTTGTCCCTGCATTCTCGTGCCCGTCGTCCGCCTTGGCCATCCAAATCTCTTACGTCTGTCCGTCCGTCCTCCAGTGTTTTCCTCCAGTCCGGTCAATTCTGTGTGGCTCATTCATTTCTGCAACATAGATGGATCTGGGAATTAAGTGATTTAATGGAACTGTGCATTACTTCAAACCGACTACACCCATCCTTTAAAGTCTTTCAGGGCTGTTTTATTGATTTAAAAATTCCTCAGCTTAGCGCTCCAATCTGTCCCATTAACTCTGAATGCTGGTTAGCCGCATACCAACAGTTAATGTTCTCTTTTACAATCAAGACAATGCAATTTTCTATGACATTGTGGTGACAGAATAGCTGGGAAAAAAATGTCCATTTCTTGAGCGCTTTCATTCTCTTTGTGTTATATCTAATTCCACATACATGAAAGGACATGAAAGTGATTGAATGGTGAATAGCTTAGACAGACACCGAAAACACAATTATATTGTGTGTAAAACCGTGTCTGTCGTCACTAATTATCGGCTTTGTGAATGTCACTGTTTAGAGAAACAGCTCATCCACCGAGAACTGAGAAGTTAAGCAGGATTTTGTCAAGAGTGAATCTTTTTTGTTATTATTTTTTCATGTCCCACAACAAAAAGCCAAATTTTCGGAGCCTTCGTTTCGTAAAAATGTTCCGCAAAGCCTGTCATTTGTCTCAATGAAAGATTTCTGTAACTTATGAAAACATTGAGAACTTTGAAGGTTTTGAGGTCAAGGTTCTGTGGAAATGGTGTTCCCCCTTCAAATGTGCTTAAAGAAAAAAAAAAGATGTTTACCTTTTTCTTTTGAAACATTCAAAAAAAAAATCATACAAAAAGGGAAATGTGCTTGTAGTTTCCAAAAATGGATTAGAGTCTGTGCTCCATGTTTAAGAGGAAGACCAGCTGACCTAGGAACTGACATCGCAGTCCAGTTCTTTCAACATTGTGCTCCTAAACAAGCCACTTCAGTCGACCCTGGAAGACTGTCAGTTAGTCAACTGTAAGTGGCTCTGGATGAAAAGCAGCTTCTAAATGGAAAGTGAATGAGTACAATAAAAGCAACCGCTGCCTAAAATTATATGTGCACGCAACCTAAGTGACAGCCCATTCTCACCCCCAAGGCGTCACCTAACTGACGCCTTGGGAAGCATTTGGACATGCTTCAATATCTGACGCTTTAGGCGCCCTTTAGCGTCAGTTAGATGACGCCCTAGGATCGCGTGTACCCTACCCCCACCCCATACCTAAACCTAACCGCGTCCTCTAACTGACGCTTTCCTTTAGCGTCAGTTAGATGACGCCGTAGGATCGCGTCATGTAAGTGACGCTAAAGGGCGCCTAAAACGTCAAATATTGAAGCATGTTCAAAGGTGACGCCTTGGGGTGAGAATGCGTTGTAAGTGAATACATAAATGAATGTTGCTTTAAAAAACGTTATTGCAAAAGCACATCACCTAAAGGATTATCGGGAATACCTGTTCAATTTCTCATTATTGCAATTATCTAATCAACCAATCATATGGCAGCTGATTCAGTTCATTTAGGGGTGTGGTCCTGGTCAAGACAGTCTCCTGAACTCCAAACTGAATGTCAGAATGGGAAAGAAAGGTGATTTAAGCAATTTCGAGCGTGGCATGGTTGTTGGTTGTTCACGCACAATAATTTCTAGGGTTTGCAAAGATGTGGCAGTCCTGTGGGCGAAAATGCCTTGTTGATGCTAGAGGTCAGAGGAGAATAGGCCGACTGATTCAAGCTGATAGAAGAGCAACTTTGACTGAAATAACCACTCGTTACAACCGAGGTATGCAGCAAAGCATTTGTGAAGCCACAACACGCACAACCTGGAGGCGGATGGGCTACAACAGCAGAAGACCCCACCGGGTACCACTCATCTCCACTACAAATAGGAAAAAGAGGCTACAATTTGCAAAAGCCCACCAAAATTGGACAGTTGAAGACTGGAAAAAATGTTGCCTGGTCTGATGAGTCTCGA